AATCATAATAGAATGCAATACCTAAGGCAAATCCAATTGTTGAAATAATGTGAATAACATTTCCAACACGTTCTCCTGAAATTCCTTGTAATGTTGTTGGATCAGATGCAAGTCTTGTTGTTAATGAACCTACCATATTTTCTTTTCTATCAAACCATGAGATATTTTGATGCATTATTGAATGATACATATCTTTTCTAACACGTCCAATCATCTTAAATCCTGCTGATAAGAATAATCCAATATACATAAAGAATGATAAGAATGATGCAACACCTATAACTACAACAATTATACAAATATTCTTAATAGTATCTTTTTGATCATCAGTAAGAGTATCTGAGTTAATTGACAATAAACACATAATTAAATCAACAATTTTTAATGTAAAGAATGGGAAAATAGCACCTCCTCCAATTCCTCCAATAAATCCAAATGTTGATAAGAACCATTCATGTCTGAAATTATCAAGAATAACTCTTAATAATACAAATCTATTTGAATGTTTTAATTTCTTCATTTCACTATTATATTCATTTTCTAATTTTTGTACAATATCTGGATCTTCATTTGTATCTGTGTTTTTATGTTGATTAATTTCTTCTGCTTCTTTGTTTTCTTGTTCTCTAATTTTCTTTAAGTCATTTTCAACTGTTTCTTGATCAACTTCTTCTTCCATACTTTGTCTTTTAACTAATCCATAATATGTTGCTTTCAAATCCATTAATTCTTGATGTGTTCCTTGTTCAATAATTTCTCCTTGATGGAATACACAAATTCTACTTGCATTTCTAACAGTTGTTAATCTATGTGCTACAACAATTGTTGTTCTTCCTTGACTAGCTTTTTCAAGTGCTTGTTGTACAATCTTTTCACTTTGTGTATCAAGTGCTGATGTAGCTTCATCAAGTAATAAAATTGTAGGTTTTCTAATCAATGCACGTGCAATAGCAATTCTTTGTTTTTGTCCTCCTGATAATGCAGCTCCTTTTTCTCCTACCATTGTATCATATCCTTCTGGAAGATGAGAAATAAATTCATGTGCATTTGCCATTTTAGCACATTCAATCATCTCTTCTTCAGTTGGTGTTTCTCCATCTCTAGCTCCAAGCATAATATTTTCTCTAATAGTACATGCAAACAAAATAGGTTCTTGTCCAACTAATCCTATTTGATTTCTTAACCATTTGATATTTAAATCTCTTAAATCTTTTCCATCTAATTTGACTGACCCACCAACTGGATCATAATTTCTTTGGACTAATTGAATAGTAGTTGATTTACCACATCCTGATGCTCCTACTAATGCAACTGTTTGTCCTTTCTTAATTTCAAGATCAAGTCCACCAAGAATTTGTTTAGTTGGTCTTGTTGGATATCTAAATTGAACATCTTC